AGGACTTAATTTTAAATGAGTTCTTGCTAATTTGCCAGTTTTACCTATTAGGCACGACATATATATGTATATAATAAACACATACACACATTATCCTCCTTGACTGCGTCCAGCCTCGACCTAGAATCCCTACGGCTACCCAGGTCTCACCATTATTTTTATATCAACTTCAGCCTTTCTACGTTGATGTTCTCGATTATTTTTTTTGTATATATATATATATATATATATATATATATATATATATATATATAACACTAATCTCTGGCTGAAGGAGACTCGAACCTACGAACCTTGGAACAAGGTACGCAGTACTATACCATCTCACCACACTGGACCAATACCTTCGCCTGCTCTTGCGAATTCCTTGCATATATATATATATATATATATATATATATATATAATAATATATATATATATATATATATATATATATATATTTTATATATATATATATATGTATGCAAAACAACCACTCTGAAAAAATAGAGAAATTCCAAGCGCTTTCGTGACTACTCACATTATCAAGGAACTATGAAAGTAAAGCATCCAAGGAAGCTATATAAGGGGTCAGGCCAGCACCTCACTATCAGATCCACAACGGTTAAACACCTGACGCGCGCCGACCCAACTTGGATAGGTCCTTTGCACAACTCACCCCACAAACTATTCTACCAAAGAAAATTTAAAAATTATTTGTCCAGTGTATTATTAAATTCTTCCCAAATTCTATTAATAATAAATGGATCTAATTATATATAAACCAAAGGAAATATTCATATTATTGTCAAAACTGCTTTTTATGAAACAAGATTCAATTATATTCCTGTCGACCATGGACTTGCTTGATACTACTTTCTCAACTTTTTGAAAATCAATTGGATGGTTAAAATCTCTTACATGAATAAATAGAGCATTGGAATCTTGTCCAGTTCTAATGCTATATTTATGCTGTTTTTAATCTTAGTTCGGGGATTTTTACCAGTTTGACCGTAATAAACTTTATCGCAAATTTTACAAGGAATCTTATAGACACATCCATCAGCATTTTGGGGGGAATTCTTTATCAAAAGTTTTTTTTACTGTATCAAGATTTTTGAATACAACTTTAATATTAAAAGTCTTAAGAAGAGAAGGCATATAAACCAAGTTTTCATGGTAAGGGAGAACCAACATATTTTTAGTTGAATAAGGCTGGTTGTCCCTTTTTGGATTGTAAAAAGTATTTCTAGCAACTTTAAAAGATTTATCAATTACATTTCTTGGGTATTTTAAATCATTACCTATTTCATAAATTTTGGATATTTCCTCATCTATGAACTCAGGACTACAAATTCGTAGTTTTTGGATTGTAAAAAGTATTTCTAGCAACTTTAAAAGATTTATCAATTACATTTCTTGGGTATTTTAAATCTTTACCTATTTCATAAATTTTGGATATTTCCTCATCTATGAACTCAGGACTACAAATTCATAGTTCCTTGATAATGTGAGTAGTCACGAAAGCGCTTGGAATTTCTCTATTTTTTCAGAGTGGTTGTTTTGCATATTCCGAAATCACCTGTTTACTGTGACCTTATTGCATATATATATATATATATATATATATATATATATATATATATAAAATATATATATATATATATATATATATTATAAAATATATATATATATAAATCGAGAACATCAACGTAGAAAGGCTGAAGTTGATATAAAAATATTTGCATATATTTATATAACCATCAGAGTCGAAAACTACAAGTAATGGCTTTAAACAGAGGTTACTGATGTATAAAATATACGTTACCATTAACACCAAGGAATTATGATGGAAAACTTACTAATACTTACAAATTATGTATCGTTACAAGAAATAAAACTTCGAAATATTCGAGAGATTGGTAATGTGAGAAGTACAAAGGTGCTATGGAATTTTCATATTTATTACAGGAACCAAACACTACTATCCATGATATATGATATATGCTATATTAAGTTGGTTCGGAAATCTGTGGTGGATGATCAGGAGGGTTAGATGGATGCTCCAGTAAGGTTAGAGAGCCACGTGAAAGATGGTTGATAAGTAATCGCTTAAATATTGTATCTACAGATAGTACTCAAGTAGTGGTTTTGAAAGTCGGTTACGCTGGGATGTTAATAGATAGATGAGCGACATAACCCCAGTATTTAGGAATTTTCTTTCTTTTACGTTTACAAGAAATAAAAACTTGAATATTCTAAAGATGGAACTATCGGTAATGAAAAATTATGGGTGGGAACAATGTTTATTACATAATCAAGGAGAAGAAAAACTCAACCATGTAAGATATATGCATAGTTGTTTGGGTGGGGGATGAGGAAGGTAGTGGATGCTAAGTTCAGAGAAGTGGAGAAAGGATCAATTCGCTAAGTTTTGATCTACAGATACCTCACCTAGTGTCAAGGGGAACCTCCTGAGGGCGGTTAGAGGCTGAGAAGACACATGATTTAGCATTTTTTCTTACGTGTGTTGGGAATGCACAGTTTATAATAGGGACACATTTCATAGATTTAGGTTAATAATTTGATATATAATCAGTGGATGAATGACCTAAACCATACTATGGATAAACTCTTGATGTGGAAGATAGTTAATACAAAAAGTACACAGATCACAATCACTAAAAATAAAGACTCAACTAAAAGAACTACTTAAGGTTTCACTAGTACACCAGTGTTCTTGACTTTAACACTCGTTTCCGTTTAAAGACATTCAAACGACCTTTAATTTTGGAAAAACTCAGTAGAATTGTACCATACTTTATCGGGCAACTGATTAGGTTTGATATATACAATTATTTATAAATTGAAAAATATCAATATATATCTAAATTTTACAGACCCTCTCTCTTTGACAACACTATCTGAAATGAATTTATATGTTTAATTTTTTTTTTCCATAGATTAAACATTATTTTTTATTCAACTGGCATTTAAATATATTAATTTATTTGTGAAAATTAATAACTATCATTATGTTAAGTTTTGTTTAGTCTTTTTAACTATTTGATGCTGCTGTTTATTGTTATTTTTGTTTATTTATTCATTTTTTTTGATGATGCTCTGCTTGTTGTTTTATATTTTTATGTTTATTGTTATGTTTTGTTAATGTTTTGTGTTATCTTGTCACGTTGTTGCTGCTGTTGTTGTTGATGCTATTGTTGTTGTTTTGCTGTTTATGCTGCTGTCTATGCTGTGGTGTTGTAATCGTCGTGACTGTGTCGTGCACAACATTACAAGGTTGTTATGTATGCTTACTGATAGATGTAAGCTTGTTGCTGAGTAGATTGGTAATGTATTAGTTGTGTTGATGGTGCTTATGCTGTAAGGTGGTGTAAGCGTTAACGGTAAGTCGTAGCAGCAACCATTACAACGGTGATAGTAAGACTTATACTGAGTAAGATGGTAAGACTTATACTGAGTAAGATGGTAAGACTTATACTGAGTAAGATGGTAAGACTTATACTGAGTAAGATGGTAAGACTTATACTGAGTCAGATAGTAAGACTCATACTGAGTCAGATAGTAAGACTCATACTGAGTCAGATAGTAAGACTCATACTGAGTAAGATGGTAAGACTCATACTGAGTAAGACGGTAAGACTCATACTGAGTCAGAGAGTAAGACTCATACTGAGTCAGATAGTAAGACTCATACTGAGTCAGATAGTAAGACTCATACTGAGTCAGATAGTAAGACTCATACTGAGTAAGATGGTAAGACTCATACTGAGTAAGATGGTAAGACTCATACTGAGTAAGACGGTAAGACTCATACTGAGTCAGATAGTAAGACTCATACTGAGTAAGACGGTAAGACTCATACTGAGTCAGATAGTAAGACTCATACTGAGTCAGTAAGACTCATACTGAGTCAGTAAGACTCATACTGAGTCAGATAGTAAGACTCATACTGAGTCAGTAAGACTCATACTGAGTCAGTAAGACTCATACTGAGTAAGATGGTAAGACTCATACTGAGTAAGACGGTAAGACTCATACTGAGTAAGATGGTAAGACTCATACTGAGTAAGACGGTAAGACTCATACTGAGTCAGATAGTAAGACTCATACTGAGTCAGTAAGACTCATACTGAGTCAGTAAGACTCATACTGAGTCAGATAGTAAGACTCATACTGAGTCAGATAGTAAGACTCATACTGAGTCTTACTATCGTAATCATTGATGTTTGTGAAAACATGTAAGATTACGATGCGATATTTTCATTTTATTAAACCATTTACTTTATAATTGTTCCGTGTGTAGAGCGTTAGACAGCGCCATATTAGTATTTTTTTTAACCCTGTTAATACTGACACCGGACAAAAAAGATTGAACACAGGTCGTATGGTACAGAGTTGTCGGGAAGTGGAATGGTCTGGCTAGTGATGTAGTGGAGGCAGGAACCATACATAGATTTAAGGCGAGGTTAGATAAGGCTCATGGAGCAGGGAGAGGACCTAGTAGCAATCAGTGAAGAGGCGGGGCCAGGAGCTATGTATCGACCCCTGCAACCATAAATAGGTGAGTGCAGAGACTGACTTATGGGTAAGACATGTGCATAATTATTAGCGGCATCTCACACGGGTTTTGTTACTAACCTGAGATGACGTCCCATCACGGACACACGTTGTTCGATACACAAGCTTAGGAACGACCAAGGGATGATGGGAATCGTAAAAAACGACCTCTGACATACCTGGAATTTTCAACAACGCAGAGTTGATGTAAATCATGAATAACGACCTATCAAACTAATAGACTTAGCTACCACCCAGAGATAACGAGAATCTTTAACGAAATGCCGTAACATACACGAGTTTAAGTACGAGCTAGACATCAACTGAAGCATTAATAACGACCTCTCAGCTTTGCCGGAGTTTGCGTCTGGCAGTTCAGAGGTAGGAGGCAGCACCACGGCAGTATGAAAGTTTTCCAGGTGACAGCATAGGAGTGCAGGAGTGCCAGTAGCCAGACTCGCGTGGCTTCAGTAGGACAAGTGGAGGGGTGCCACGGCTCTGGCACACTAACCTGCTCCACTGACGTACTAGTGACAAGTGCTGGTGGCAGATACCTGTTATGTTTCTTATGTCTTTACGTTAACAAAATATTTTTATTAAATTACGTAATGAAAAAAATACTATATTTAGAGTAATTATACAAATATTAAATAGAAATAACGTAGACAAATAAGTGTAAGAGTGATAATAGTTTATAACAGTTTAGGAGTGGGAGAACTTGTTGATGGAAAATAATAGCATAAAATTTTATGTAATAAACAGTTAAGTGTGGATGATATAACCTTAAGGTACATATATATGAACTACTTAACTGTGAGTATTATTTGGTATTATGACTACCATTATCATATACACATACCCTGAAAAATAACTAATTCAATGATTGCAATATTATATATATATATATATATATATATATATATATATATATATATATATATATATATATATATATATATATATATATATATATATATATAAGGTTGGTAGATAGCAACCGCCCAGGGAGGTACTACCGTCCTGCCAAGTGAGTGTAAAACGAAAGCCTGTAATTGTAATTGTTGGTTTCCTTTTTTTCTGTTTCATAAACATGCAAGATTTCAGGTACGTCTTGCTACTACTACTTACACTTAGGTCACACTACACATACATGTACAAGCATATATATACACACACCTCTCTGGGTTTTCTTCTATTTTCTTTCTAGTTCTTGTTCTTGTTTATTTCCTCTTATCTCCATGGTGAAGTGGAACAGAATTCTTCCTCCGCAAGCCATGCGTGTCGTAAGAGGCGACTAAAATGCCGGGAGCAAGGCGCTAGTAACCCCTTCTCCTGTATATATTACTAAATTTAAAAGGCGAAACTTTCGTTTTCCCTTTTGGGCCACCCTGCCTCGGTGGGATACGGCCGGTGTGTTGAAAGTATATATATATATATATATATATATATATATATATATATATATATTATATATATATATATATAATATATATAATATATATATATATATATTATATATATACACGCATGATGACTTAATTATATTAAAATTCCCTTTTATTAAACAACTGATAAAACAACGTTAAATTTAACAAAACTAAAAGAAACACCTTTTAATATTTTTATCATGAAAATTCTGTCTTTTACATCGAAGAGTTTGTTACTAAATTCCCGCCATCCTTCCCACTACAGAAATCTTGGTGGAAACTGCAAGCAACGTGAAATTTAGTGGGAACATTCTGAAACCCGAGACCCGCCTTAGGGGGCCAGACAGGCCTTTGGGAATGGGAGTTAATCAGGTTTGATTTAAGGAAGACGAAGGTAACTCCAGCTTTTTAGATTAAGAGCCCTTCACTAGTATCAAGGCAACCCCCCTCCGTCCTTGATTAACGTAGCATGATGTCTGGTAAGGATTATAATCTTACGAGTATATTAACACGACTCTTCCCGTTTGTCTTTACATCAAAGCGAGTGTCTTGATGCCGGGGAAGATCTCTCGTTGGCTTTCCTGTGTTACCATTCCTCGGATCGAACCTAATTGAATATTTTCCCAGACGTAGTATGACACCGGCGGGTTTAAGGATTCCACAGACTTTTTAATGGTTTATTTTGTACTTTTATTCTGTTTTCCTATTCGTGTTTTTTTTTCTTCTGCGACTAATAATGATTTTGAGGGGACAAGAAAATAGATAAACCTAAATGTAAGTTACTTTAAGTAACCTAACCTAAACTATTCTGATCTACCCTAACCTAACGTAACTTAACTTAACCTTACCTAACCTAACCTAACCTAACCTAAACTATTCTGATCTACCCTAACCTAACGTAACTTAACTTAACCTTACCTAACCTAACCTAACCTAACCTAACCTAACCTAACCTAACCTAACGTAACTTAACCTAACCTAACCTAAACATTCTGATCTACCCTAACCTAACGTAACCCTAACTAACCTAACCCAACCTAACCTAACCTAACCTAACCTAACGTAACCTAACCTAACCTAACCTACGTACCTAACCTACTAACGTAACGTAACCTACCCTAAAGTAACTAACCTAACGTAACCTAACTTAACCTTACCTAACTGACCTGACCTAACCTAACGTTAACTACCTAACCTAGCTTACTAACCTACCTAACCTAACTAAACCTAACGTAACCTAACTTAACCTTACCTAATATCAACTGACCTAAAATAAACCTGAACCTAACATAACCTAACCTAACCTTACGTAGATTTAACTAACTGACCTAACCTGTTTAACAAACCTAACTACTTAAGCTACCCATATTCACTAGCATAACTCTTAGAATACAAAATAAGGAATATTTGTTACTGAGAGAAGTCACAGAATACATGTTCCTGAAAGCACATAAACACATGTTTTATATGAAGTACGGGTTGAACGTGTATTCAAACACTTATAGAGAGTTCTATACAGCATTAAGTTCACATTTTTCACAATAGAACAAACACAAACCTACACAGACATGGAAAAAATCCACAACCACAAGCAATTCATCACTAAATAAAACAATTATATCACAAAACCATTAAACACATCACAACACACACAACACACACAACAACACACACGCACAATAAACACACAACACACACAACACACACAACACACAACACAACCACAACACACATCACACAAACACAACACACAGCACACAAACACACCAACACACACACACACAACACACACACACACAAAGTGCAAAGGTATCGCAACAAGAGTAGTCCCAGAGCTAAGAGGTATGTCCTACGAGGAGAGGTACAAGGAAATCAACCTAACGACACGGAGGACAGGAGAGATAGGGGGGACATGATAACGAACATACAAAAACCGAGAATTAACAAGGTGGACAAAGACAGGATGTTCCAGAGATTGGACCACATAAACAAGGGACACCAGTTAGGAATGAAAGACACACGATACATCACACGAGTAGGAAGTATTTCTTCAGCCACAGAGTAGTCAGTAAGTGGAATAGTTTGGGAAGCGATGTAGTGGAGGCAGGATCCATACATAGCTTTAAGCAGAGGTATGATAAAGCTCACGGTTCAGGGAGAGTGACCTAGTAGCGATCAGTGAAAGGCGGGGCCAGGAGCTTGGACTCGACCCCCGCAACCTCAACTAGGTGAGTACAACTAGGTGACACACACACACACACACGGTTAAAGGGAAAAACTGTTAATTTTCTTAACTTCATTAATTTGCCAATATTAAATAACCATACGAATATTTTCAGAAAAAAAAATTGTCAGGAGTAAAAATTATTATATTTCCATAGACAAGTTAAAATATAAAGAATTTGAGAAAATAGAGAGATAAATTGACTATGGAATTAAACGATCTCTTATGTAAATCTGGTAACGAATGCAACTGTAAACAGACACCTTAAAAGTGTATTACAACTTTTGTTTACAAATCTGATGCCGGAAAGTATATGAGACCAATAATAAATATACAACTAGAAAATGGTATGCATTTCTACCTAAATAGAATGTAATTAATAAATACAGTGATGAAATATTATGAAGCGTGTTGATGTATGTGATGCTAATGAGAAGCATGTTGATGTATGTGATGCTAATGAGAAGAATGTTGATGTATGTGATGCTAATGAGAAGAATGTTGATGTATGTGATGCTAATGAGAAGCATGTTGATGTATGTGATGCTAATGAGAAGCAGAGATGCAACACAAGTGTACAAGGAACGCATGTAAATTTTATTATAGTGTCAGGTTATATGAATTACCAAGACAGTCTAGAGGCACCAAGACAGTCTAGAGGCACCAAGACAGTCTAGAGGCACCAAGACAGTCTAGAGGCACCAAGACAATCTGGAGGCACCAAGACATTCTGGAGGCAACAAGACAATCTGGAGGCACCAAGACAGTCTGGAGGCACCAAGACAGTCTAGAGGCACCAAGACAGTCTAGAGGCACCAAGACAGTCTAGAGGCACCAAGACAATCTGGAGGCACCAAGACAGTCTGGAGGCAACAGGACAATCTGGAGGCACCAAGACAGTCTAGAGGCACCAAGACAGTCTGGAGGCAACAAGACACTCTGGAGGCACCAAGACAGTCTAGAGGCACCAAGACAGTCTGGAGGCAACAAGACAATCTGGAGGCACCAAGACATTCTGGAGGGAACAAGACAATCTGGAGGCACCAAGACATTCTGGAGGCAACAAGACAATCTGGAGGCACCGAGACAGTTTGGAGGCAACAAGACAATCTGGAGGCACCGAGACAGTTTGGAGGCACCAAGACAATCTGGAGGCACCAAGACATTCTGGAGGCAACAAGACAATCTGGAGGCACCGAGACAGTTTGGAGGCAACAAGACAATCTGGAGGCACCAAGACAATCTGGAGGCACCGAGAGTGATCTAGGCGGCAGCTTAAAAGAAAATCAGTCACCGTGATTGATTTTCTTGTGTTAACCTGCTAAAGGTTAAAATTAAATATACTTTGCATGTGCCTATAAAATCTGAGTGCTGTCAAGCCATGTATTTTATGTTAGTCAAAGCCTAAATAAAGATTTATATACAATCATTACATTTAGCTTACAGAACACGTATGAGACAGCACACACTAGGAATTTAAGTTCCAAAATCATGTCACTTAGCTTGTTAGGTTTGAATTCTATCGACTCCACGTGTGGGTTATTAAATCTACGCTTCCCCTGTTCACCAACAATCCTAAATACTTGAATATCAGTATTTAAACAGGAAATAAGTTAAAGTAACACTGAATACACAATACAACGTACAAACATATACAACCACACAACAGGCCAAGTGTCTATCGGCAAGTGCCTTTGACAACTAGTAACTACGTCCCGGTGTACACAACCTGTACGTTACACTAGCAATAGTATGAATAAACAGGAATATGAAAATAAAACATGAATAAGAACCAGCAGGAATATAAGCAAACAGGAATATGAACAATCAGGAATATAAGCAATCAGGAATATGAACAATCAGGAATATAAGCAATCAGGAATATGAATAATCAGGAATATAAACAATCAGGAATATGAACAATCAGGAATATAAGCAATCAGGAATATGAACAATCAGGAATATAAGCAATCAGGAATATGAATAATCAGGAATATAAGCAATCAGGAATATGAATAATCAGGAATATAAACAATCAGGAATATGAGCGATCAGGAATATGAGCAATCAGGAATATAAACAATCGGGAATATAAACAATCAGGAATATAAACAATCAGGAATATAAACAATCAAGAATATGAACAATCAGGAATATGAACA